CCTCCACCCCACCCCACCCCCAGTGCCTCTTCCCAGATTAAAATTTCAATACTCCGAGAACAGAGGCAACACCTTTATCTATCCTAGCAGAAGCTGTTTGGTCGCTTATTGAGCCCTTCTCTCTGCTTTCTGACAGTTTTTCAGTTTTCCAAGAGGTCGTTTGGGCATCAATAATGCACGGGGTTGAGGGGGGGAGTATCAAATAGGGGAGAATGAAATAAGCAAACATGCTTCCCCCTCCCCCCCAAATCAGTCCCTGGGATTCGAATTTGTATTATCAGCTGCAGGTAGGGGCATAGTTGGGTTTTGTTCCAGCCATGGCACTGTGAAGGGAGTTCCAGATAGTCAGGCCCTTCTAAGAAAGGCTATCAAATGCTCCATAATTCCTTGTCTTATGGCATTTTTGAGTGATATGGAAGGGGATGAAATCCGGATTAATTGTGCATCTTGCAGGAATATTATCACTCTTCTAGGAAGGGAAATGCTTCAGCCTTTGATCAAATCCACAGAGAACACATGGAAGACCAACATTCTCCTGAAATGTGGTATGAAAAGTATGAAACATTTTGGCCAGCAGATAACAACAACCCAAATTGTAACTAAGCTTCATTGGGCCTGGAGCTGGACTAAGTTTCAGCAGAGTTATTTGTTTTATTTTCATTTATTTGTATCCTTTATTTTGTAAAAAAAAATCGTTTATTATGTAAAATGTATTATTTCCCCAAATATCTAAAGACACTGAACATATCCTGCACAACCTCCTCCTATTTCCCCCACAACAACCACCCTGGGAGGTAGGTTGAGCTAGAGAGAATGATTTGCCTAGGAGTCAAGTGAAGCTCCTATTGCTTCAGATCTATTCTGTGGGATACACACACACACATACACACACACACACACAAGCTTGCACACCCACCCACACACATATGGCCATAGACCACTTCAAGTCATCACTAGAGGAGTATCATTAATGAGAATAGGCTTTCTATCATTACAGTACGGCTGGAGGATTCTAGAAGATGCTAAAATCGGTAGAGTGAAAATGGCTTTAACTGTTCTTAGGTCTGATTGTAGTTAATGAGACAAGTCAATCAATGTCTTCCCCATGTAATTTGAAACTAAATATAACTAATTTGTGGGAACCATCCCACTGAATTCACCTGGATTTCAGCATGATGTGGCTTATTTTGTACTAAAACCATACCAGGAAGAAGACACCTTGGCCTGTTGGTGGCCAGCAGGTTCAGCTGTGATCCAAGCATGGATGATCTTAAAGAAGTGGTCTGCCATCCATTGTTGAAGGCTATTTATGGAATGGGGAGTATTAGATAGCAGCTTCAAACATCTGCAAAATTCCACAGTGCTCAAAAACAGTGTCAAATTCACTGTTCCAACCAACATCCCTGGTTAACCCATTCCCCATTTTAAGGAGAGTCAGATTTCCCCAAAAGCTGTATTTGCTGAAATCTAGAAAAACTTCCCATGACTTTTAACAAGGAAACTGGGCTCAAGAAAATCTGGAAGGCATTAGGCTAGAAAGGCTAAGCTAGAATTTCCCTATAGTGTCCTTTCTCAATTGCTCTGTCTTGCAATGCAAAAGCCATGCAGTGCAGTCCTTCACCAGTCTCAACCAATCATACTCTTCTGTGCATGTCATAAATCACAAGAGAAAGCTTCCCTTTCTTGTTTATTGGTCTTCCAGTTGGTTCACACTAAGGCTGCTTCATGTAATGGTGTCACTACAATAGATATTGATCTTTGTGTATATTTCTGTGAAGAGCTAGCAAAGCAAACAAAAAACCACTTTTCTTTAATTTTTATTTAGGGGGAGGAAGAGAGGGAAGAAGAGGAAACCCCTACCCAAGTTAGCTCTGCAATTTCGGTAGATGGCATAAGTCAAGGACAGGAGTGGTGAGAATGAGAATCGTCCCAGAATTGATATAAGGTCAAAAGAGAGCAAACAAGATGGCAAGAACAGAAAGCCAGAAAAGAAATGGCCACACTTCTATCAATTTAACCTTTATTCCTGCTTGAAAAATAGAGACACCAGCAACAGGAAATACTCTTCAACCTTCTTTTCCTCTTCCCATCCTTCCCCCCCACCAGACCATGTACTGTAATTTCTTGTGGCTAAAAGGACAGGCCGTTTCTAGAGCCTGTGTAGCTAGAACTTTTAAGGGTTTGCATGAATTCCACAGGCGATGATTAAATAAAATAAAAGAAAAATAAACAAATCTCTGTGTCCTCTCACAAACTGGAGTGGAGAGAAGAAATAAGTTTCATTGCCCTGTTCTGCCTTGTGTGGGAGGCTTATGCTGGACTGATTTTGGGGATGTCTTTCTCTTTCTTTTCTCCCCATGTGCAACATAGCCGCCCGGAGTCCTTCGGGATTGGGTGGCCTATAAATTTATTAAATCAAATCAAATTTATTAAATCAAATTAAAGAAATACTTGATTTTAGAATCCCCTTCCTTTATAAGGGGGCAAAGATGTTTGCCCATATCTATGTATGTGTATGAGAGACAGAGAGGGAGGGGAGGCAACAAAAAAAAGGGAGAGAGAAGCATGTTTAAGCTGAAGAATCAGATTAGAATGGATACTGCCTTTAAAGGTCAAGGGTTTGATTGGTCAGTCTGCTTCTTTAAAAAAAACAATTAATGGGACAAAATGTGTCCTTTCGGTGAACTCTCCTCATTGCCCTGGTACAATGACACAACAATAGTAGGGTTTAAACTCCTACTCTGTAGTTTTTGGAACAATTGTAACATTAATTAGGCCAGCTAAAATAGAAATCCAGGGCACTGCCATATAACAACACAACCTCTCCTACTCCCCCATGCCTATCCTCATTCCCAAGTGCAACTACACATTTAAGTGACAATGTGGGGAAAGATCCATAGAATAATTTTTTTAAATTACCTTGAACGGTGACAATCTGCCATATGTATTTTCCTGCCCGGTCCGATACTCCACCCTGAAAGCATACACCTTCAGGGCGCAGCCAAGCAACTGTGTCTTTTATACATGAACACATTTTCCCCAAGAAAATCCTTCGGTGTCTTCGCAGACCTTTTCCAAGAGAATGCCTTTCAGAATCGCTGTTGAATTACAAAGAAGTATTTATTGTAGGAGGTGATTAATGATTCTCAGTAAAATTGCTATTTTCAGCATGATTTCATTTCTCTTTTTTTAAAACCACGGGAAAAGAGTGGATGGAAGGGGGGCACCCAGCATAAGTCCTGGGAAGTAAAAGAAGATATGTAATCTTTTACTTAGGTAGATGATTAAACACCTTGAAGCTTCCTCTTCATTTGTAAGTTTCTGTAAATTAGCAGGAGAAAAATCTTCATGCCAAACACAGAGTTTAGACAAAGACACACAGTATAAAGGAGGAGGTAAGCCTCCATGTTTTCTATGCCATTCTCTTCTATTTCATTGAAGAATTCAGGCCAAGCTGTCTTTCAGGTTTTAAATGGAGACCCAGTTTGGGCTGTTCTGTTGGCCTGAGATTTATTTTCATTACAATCTGACATTTTAATACTGTCAATATTGTGACCCTCCCCAACTCAGAAGAATTCTCATATATTTGAGTTAAATTTTGCCACTTTTTTCTCTGAGAATTCTGTAAAGGCCTCCTTACCAGTGAAAAAAAAACTAAAAGAGGATTACGTTTCCTTGCACCACATACATTTGCCACCCACCAGCAAACTCTTGTTCTAAATGGCAATTGAGGCCTGAAGGTGTTTTGCTACTTAGAATAAGATCTCAATCTATCTTTAAGTTGAAGATTTTTATATACGTGTACACATTGTACAAATTATTAAAATATCAGCTATAAACTATTATATCAAGACCATCTCCCTGATGTGGTAGTTCACTGTCTGTCTGTCTTTCTGTCTCTCCCTTCCTCCCTCCCTCCCTTCCTCCATTGTTTAGCATTAAGGATGCCAATTTATTATAAGCCAAGAAGTGGTGTGTTATTAAAACTGAAAGAAAAGTTGCCACCACTAACAAATAAACAAAAGAAAGATGCAGTTACAATATGGTGAAAAGTACGGCTAGTGTGATAAGAATAATATTAATCATTTCCTCCAGTGTACTGAACAGTCTCCATTTCTGGTTGCATAGAAGTAGTGATATAGTATAGACACAAAAGATAAAGCTTCTGAACAAGAATGGAAAAAGATGGAATTGTTTTTTGCAGGATGGGTGGGTTTTGATAGATATCACCGTTAAACTCAGTTGCCTACTTAAGAACAAGGGTGTTACAAGTTGAGTACCTTACAAACATCCTATTTAAGCAACCATCCCAACTCTAGTCCAGTTTATTTCAATATGACTTTCTCCCACCTCCTTGTGGGGCCCTAATAGGGGCCTAAGACTCGGTCAGGTACTGTGTGAAAATTAGTGCTCTGGAAATCAACATGCCTTATTCCACCTAATATGCTTTGTGTTGATTCTGAATGATACTATAGTCATCTATAACACTAAGATTCAGCCTTGTCTACCTGATGGCAAACCCAATCAATCAATATATCTACTTGTTTAAGACCAAACAAGTGTCAACCAAAGCCCAGATCTTGGAAATGCATGGTTCTGTCAATGGATCTAGGGCTTTTAATTTTAATTTTATTTGTGTACAGAATATTCTTTATTAACAGCACTGGACATCATATATATACATACATACATACATGCATACATACACACACAAAACACATTTTCACAAATGTGTACCTATAGAAGTCATCTATTGTTCATAGACATGGACTGTGATATGACATGAGTATAGGCTGAGCTTTTAGAGTAACATTGGTTCATTTTTCTTAAAAATAATAAATGCAATGTTAAGGAGACTATTATCACAACTGGAGCAAGAACTACACTTTAAAAAAAGATTACTCTTGGTACATGGAAAACACTTTCTTCAGCCAGTTAGGGATGGGACTGCATGGTTGCTGAGTGTCCCCCCCCCCCCACTAATTTCCAAATGACTTTAGTGAAATCAGACCAGTTTACTTCTGTTTCTTCCAAGGGTGCAGGAACAAACATTTCACAGAATAACACAAGCCTAGGATTTACACACAAAGTCACTTATCAATACTATGTTGCCTCAAAGCATTTATACAAATAGTGTTTTTTAAACATTTGGTCCATCCAAAACTCCCATAAATTTAAAAAAAGAAAAGATCATGGAGGGCAAGATGAGGACATATTTACAAAGGAGGAATACTGTCCAAAGCTTATTTACTTTTTGGTTTTTATCAACACAGATTTTTATTCTGCTGTTTCTACCCCTCAATGCAATTGCTTGGTCCCAGGCCAAAGGAAAAAGAGGCAAGAATTGGAGAAGTGTTGGAGATAGCAGTGTCTCTTTCCCGCAAGAGTCTGACCATCATAGTGAGGCTGAGTTTAAAGTGGCCCTGCTTCTGGGAGTTGGTGGGTGATGCTGGGCTGGAGGTTTGGCTGGTTGGTGGAGACCAGAATTGTTGGAGGAGCGCATCTTGGTGTTGGGTAATTTGTGATCCTTCTTCCACTTCATCCGCCTGTTCTGAAACCAGATCTTGACCTGCCGCTCAGACAGGCAGAGTGTGTGCGCTATCTCAATGCGTCGCCTCCTGGTCAGGTAACGGTTAAAATGGAACTCCTTCTCCAGCTCCAGGACTTGTTGTCTTGTATAGGCAGTCCGAGATCTTTTGGGCTCCCCTCCATTGTAGCTGGGGCTGACTGAGCCATCCACACATGCAGGTACACGTGCACAGACCCAGATGCACAAAAGAAGAAGGCAAGGGAAGGTTATCATTATTGTGCCATAAATTCAATGCCACTGGGTTCCTTTTTAAAAAAGGTTTCGCAGGCTCTTGACAAGAGGGGACAATTAGAGATCGGTAAAAATGGTGATGGGCATTTGGACTCAAGGAAAGCTCAAAGACCTACCGCCCAGAGCCACTGCCAGAGCTATTAAATTTATGGGGGCCATAATTACTGCCTTAACAGCTTGGCGTAGTAAATCTCTTGCTCAAGGGCCCCACCTACAAAAAGGGTACTCGCGTCTCTTTTCTTTCTGGGTTTCGCTTTAAAACTAGGAAATGCGCCCTCTCCCCAATGTTGCTATCCCCGGTCTGAGTCCAGCCCTATCCCAGCCTCCGGGGAGTTAGCCGCGCTCAGTCCCAGATCCCTCTAGAGGAGGCCAACTCACCCGTGTTCACGTGGATCTTCTTCATCCAGGGGTAGACTACCGGTGCTGCCTCCTCTTTGAGGCCTGGCGCGCTTTTTTCGGGCAAACGGGAGCAGCCAGGACTACCCACGGAAGCTGTTCCCAGAGCTGCTTCGCAAGGACGCTGCTGGGACTGAGGCTGCGGGCCGTGGCCTTGGAGCAAGGGTTGGGAGGCCACTTGATGGCCCTTCGTGGCAGGAGCTGATGAAGCCGGCGGCAGCGGCGGCGCTGACAGGGGTGGCGAGGCTCCGGGAGCTGGGTGCTCCTGCCCTTGAGTGGCAGTGAGGCTGTTGTAGTCGTAGGGGGAGTCAGGGTAGTGCGGGGGCTGCGTGAGATACCGAGCCTCGGGGGTCTGCGGCGGCTGGTATCCCGGTTCCCTGCTTGGCCGCTGGTAGAAATCGGGAAGAGGCTGGCGCAGGTGCAGCTGCTGCAGTTTTTGCTGTTGCTGGGGATGATGGGGATGGGGGTGTTGGTGGGAGTGGGGAGGGTGGTAGTTGTTCTCGCCGCCGCCGCCGAGCTGCGAGTATTCTTCGCAAGGAGGGAACTTGGGTTCGATGTAGTTGGAGTTTATCAAAAACGAACTCATGGTCATTAATTTGTGAAGTGCAAAAATACTAATTTTTCTCGCGTTGTCGTTTTTCTGGGCTCCCGGAGGCCCCTCCCTCCTGCCCCTTCCTCCTTCCTTCCTTCCCTCCCTCCCTCCTTGCCTCCTCCTCTTCCCCCCCCCCGCTGTTGTCAAGCGCCTCCCGCCAAAGTTTGGAGCTCCAAACTCCCCCCCCGCCCTTCTTCTGGAATTCCCACCCCAAAAGCTTAAAGCACACGCGCGAGCTCGGATACACAGCGCGCTCAAACAAACAAACACACACACACACACACACATATATTCAGACACACAAAGAGATACATACCACTGCCACCCCATCACCACCAGCACCACCACCACCTGACCGACAGGGCCAATTGCTATGCCGTTGGCAGAGCCCGGATCAGGAAATAGAAGGAAGATTCGTTGAAGCAACGCAGAATCAGCCTACGCGCGTTTTCCCCGCTCAGGGAAGAAGGGGTGCAGTCCAATTTATGTGGTAAAATGTGGAACGAAGGATGGGTGGAAGGAAGGAAGGTCACCAAAAACAGCATCAGATCCGTTTTTAAGTTTTTAAAGGATTACAGAAGGTGGTGACCCTAAAACGATTCTGCAAATTTAAGCTGTCAAGGGTTTTGTGGGTTCTGAAATCCTAGTTTAGTGGCTTAGGAGTCTTTCTTAAATCCAAGTTCTCTTAATCACAAATCGGCTGGCTTCAGGGTTGTGGAAATTCAAGCAATTATCTGTAGAAGATCCCTTACTGTTTCTGTAATTTTTAGAGAGAAATTCATTAAAGAATTCAGCAATTATGAGTTTGTCTGAAGATTCTAAGCCTGTATCCCGTCAAGTGAAGAAAACAAAGGTGATCTATATTCACGATTTATTGTTCTTGAATACAAGCTATGGCATGAGTGAGTATGCGAAGGCGCGCGCGCGCATACACACACACACACACAAACGGAGGAATTTTAGCTGTTGGAAAATTCGTTTTGCAGAAGTTGCTCTCATCCTGACATACTGTGCAAGCATATCTTTATACATCTGTTTTTCACCTGGATCTATTCTTCCCCGGTTCTGTTTTTGAAAGGATAATCACATCAGCTAAAGATGAGAATGAATAGCATGATTTTATTCAGTGAATTTTGGAATATTTATAAAGAGTAAAAAACGGTAGTAGAATGATCAATAGATTTATTAAATACTAAGAAACAAAGGCCAACTAATTGCAAGAAGCTATTTGTTTCCTTCCGATCCTTCTCCAGGGCTTTCAGAAATGGTGTTTTTACTGTAATTTAGTTATTCTAAATACTCAACACCCGTTGGCAAATCTAGAGTGGCAGATCATTTCTTAGAGATGCAGATACGAAATGAAAGTTGATAGACAAAAACAAACAGAAATCCAATTAGTTATAAAAGTAGTTAAGAAAGATGAAGTCATCCTGCAAGTATTAATAAGGAAGCATAGAAATTCAAGAAGTTACCAGAAACAAATTTTCCTTGAAGCCCAGATGACTTTCTGTATCACCAAACCTAGTGATTTTTTTAAAAGAATCTTTCGCAAATATGAAAACTATTGCCTTCACGTGAGAGAAGTGTTTTTATGTATTCTAACACTGCTGAAAGTTTTTTTTAAATCTTTGCCATCACTGCTAAAAACAAGAGGAATAAGGAAGCCTATGCATAAACAGCGATATTCTAAATCTGTTTAACCATCACATAAGCATAGTGAGAGGCCCTCTTCCTTTATCCTTACAATAGGGCACCAAGCCTATGGCCATTTCCTTGAGAATAAATCATAATGAATCCATGGGAGTTTCTCATGAATGGACAGGTATACTGTGCCATAAAAACTATGCTGCTAAAATAAGATTCTAAAGTATCACATAGGTATACTTGTGTTCTACCCGTTTAGTTTCTAATTTGTCTCTGTTTTAATCAGATTTCTTAATCTGCAGGAGATGGGGAGTCAGTTACCCCTTTATTTCACTGCAAATGTAGATTTCTGTTATTATATTTACCTTCTATGATCTATGTGTGGATAAGTATAATGATCGCTTCCAAATTAAAATCTTCTAACCAAATATTTTGAGGTGGAATGGGGGCTACGCGGAGCTGTGTGTGCCCCAGTGTTAATCTTTCCTTAAGAAGATTTCATTATTAAGATTATTATATCTTTGTTGCATTTCCTACCTCATTTCCCCACTGCATCTTTTCTTTATCACCTGAACTCTGACCTATAAAATCAAAGACCAGGTTTTTAGCTAATACCAGAAATATGTCTTCTCTGTTAATGGGCACAGCAACTTCCCTTTTATCATCTCCAGCTAACTTTTTATGAAGCATTTTTGGGGGCATGGTTTACCTGTGGAAGGCAGTCAAATGTAATTTCCTTGGGGTAGGCCATGAAACACTTGTAGGCATCGGAGAAGACCCCACCACTGGATCCCAAAGGGAAACATTTTTTCCCTGTTTTTCCCCCCACTTCTATTTTATGGTTTAAAAAGGAGTGAGAGTGGAAGTGTGGATGTTGCCATCCAGGTTGGATATGGGGAGGGGAGATTAAATATTTCATTGCTACAAACAGGACTTGGGTTGAGTCTAAATAGTTAAGGTCCTGTCCTTGTGTGTGGGTCAAATTGGAACCGAAGCAAGTCTGCAGTTGCAATGAGCAACTCTGAACAGGAGAGCTTTTTTCTTGAAACAAAAGCCCCCACCCCCACTTCAGGACCTGAGGATGACTAGAACTATTGAAAAACTAGGACTCCCAATAATAATAATAATAATAATAATAATAATAATAATAATAATAACAACAACAACAACAACAACAACAACAACAACAATAATAATAATAATAATAATAGATAAATAAGAAGATACTTGGTTAATACCTAGAATGCTGGCAGCAACTCGTATCAAATATTAGCACCAGTCAATGGTATTTGTGATGCATTTTTGAATGTTCAGTTGACTGGGTTTCATGTACTACTACTACTACTACTACTACTACTACTACTACTACTACTACTACTAATAATAATAATAATAATAATAATAATAATAATAATGAATAGAAAGCAAATACCTTCTTTCTGTCTGCTGAATACACCATGTCTCAGCACTGCTTAAGATTAGTGCTCCCGATTCTCTTCCCTTCGCTGCCTTTCACTGGGAGCCTCCTTTTGCTTAACTCTACAAAAATAAAAATGGTTCTACTCTGCAGGCCCTGTAAATCTCCAAGGAGACCAAAGCTGATCAGCTGCTGCATGGTACTCAGGATAGGTGATTCTTTCCGATTCCAGAGATGGGCCTGGTCCTTGTCTTGATGGTTTCCCTATCATATCATAAACAAGAGCCGGGCCAAGACCACCGAGGATTATCTCTCCAGCAGCAGTTCACACATCCCCCCCCCCCCGCCCCTATGTCTCCAGAGATTTATGCTCTGTTCTACAGGCACACATACTGGACCCAGAAACCTGGCCTAGCCAGCATTAAGCACCATCCTCTTCAGTAACACACAAACACACACACACACATGTGCAGCCTTTTGGGGAGGTGAAGATGATTTCACTGACAAGAGAGCCTCCCTCACCTCCAGATCAAAAGTTCTAGCAGCAGTTGCTTTGAGCTAGTCTGGACTGAGGGATAATTTACTGAAATTAAAGAAGAAACAGATAAAAAGCTACAGGGATCTTTTCGCAAGATCTGATATCAGAGAAGCAAAATTGCAGATTTGTCTTCCTTTGATGGTCACTGCCTATAGAAGAGTAGTGTCCATCTGGAGCAAAAAAAAACATGTACACACACACACACACACACACTCTTTTGTCTTGCCACACATGCCTGGAAGAGAAGATGGCTGATCAACAAACTCAGCACCCTGCCTTGCCACTGATTTGATGCATTTTTAGTATATTTAACCCAGCTTTCCTTGTTCAATACAACCCTGCCCCCAGTTTCAAAGTAACCGAAAAGTGACACTGGGCACATTTTGTTGCTTATTAATCTTACACATTGACAGTCTTTGTTAAATAACAAGGCGTGCCCCTTCACCAAGCGACATTTTCATATTTGTTAGACAAGTTGACCTGAAGTTCACCTCGGCCTTGGACTTAGTTTTTTTTTCCAGGAGATCTTCGAGGGTGTCCCTTTAAAAAGCAGGGGTGGGAGGAGAAGGCTTTGGTTAAATCTTTTATTCCTAAGTGGGAAAGACCCTGAAATTATACTAGGACAAAAACGTAATCTTTGTGAAATGTAGGGACTATATTTGCCTTTCGCTTTCTAGAATTAAAAAAAAAAAAGATTAAAAAGAATTTATTTGAAGCTCAGCATTTGACAGTTGGGTTTTGACACTGGAAGAAATGCTAGCTGAACCCATACATCTATCTGTAAGAATTTTCATCATGAAACTTGACTGTTTCTGGTCTTTGTATTCCCTTAACAGTTATTCTTGAAAAGGAGTCTGAGTGTTGAAGATACAGACAGAGCCAGTGTGGTCTAGTGGTTAAGGCAGCAGGCTAAACAAACAAGACTGCAAATTCTAGTCCCACTTTAGGCATGAAAGCCAGCTGGGTGACTTTGGGCTAGTCTTCTCAGTCCAACTCACCTTACAGGGTTGCTGTTGAGTGGAAAATAGAAGGCGGAAGGAGCATTATGCATGTTCATTGCTTTATAAAAATAATAAAGTCAGAATAAAAAAATATTGAAAAGAAAGGGGCAGCGAAATTGTTCTTTGCAACCAGAAAAATTGAGAATCAAGTTATCTTAATTGTGCTGACCTCGAGGGCTGAGGATTGGTATTCATATGCAATATTCACATCAACATACACTCTGTCTTTTGTTCTAAATTTATCTAAAGTAGCAAGAAAATAAAAAGCTTTTAAAATTGGTTTCCCTCCCCCAAAACAATTTGAAAAAAGAATGCCAAGAACTCCTGAAAACATCAATGTGTATTTGAAAATTTCCCCTTTCTTCAACACTTAAACTGATTGCCTTCAAATTTC